ACTTTAAATATTTTTCACATAATTTCACTAGTATTAGTGTGTATCTGTTTTATTATATGTCAATACCCTTGTATTATACGAGGAGGCACTAAACTTAACAACCGATATAGTACCTCTCAGAGAAAATACCAGTAAAATTTTTTGTTAACTGCCTCGTTTATATCTTTTATTCTTTGGATAGATACATCTTTCAAACCCAGATTATAATTATCAGTAACTGCTCAAGTTGTATTGTACCTTGAATTCGATACGAAGCTTGTTCTAGCAGCCAGAGTCGGCAGAGATGTCGGCCTGGCACGCCGGCACGCGCCGGTGGGGACACATTATTGACCATAGGCGACACGTAGAGGTACTTAGGGCCGCGCTCAAGGAAATGCCACTCTTGTTGCTCATTTAGTAACATTTACACCGCTCATCGAAATTGAAACATCCAGCTCGAAGGACCAGTTGGCTATTTACACGGAGATCTTTATTTACGATTGCATGCTTATGGTATATTACATTTTGTATATTGTAAAACCATACAGTTCATTGTGCCCTTTATTTATCGCTACATTTTCAGTATTACGATAGGAAAATAATTTCTGTTCGTAAAATATCGGAGTATTATTTTCATTAACAGAGCGTAGTTAAAACGATTTCCTTGAGTGTAAGGCAGCATGATTTGTTGAGAATTGACGTATTTTTGAGAGAGTTGACGCATGATTTGTCCCTTTCGCCCCCTCCCTGTCACACAAACATACCTGTCAGTGACGTCATAGGACACGTTTCCCTTTTGATTGGTATTTCTGACGTTGATACTAATTTAGTGTTGATTTTTTAGTTAGGTATTTATCGATTACTAAACACTCCTCATACAGTTTTCGTGCGCACGGTAATTAACTACAATTACTAGATGATATTGAACCTTATAAGTGTACAATAGAGTTTCATTTTTACGTATGTTTGTAGCCAAAGCAAGAGGTGGCGGCGCAGGCGCCTATCACGCACCCGCTGTTCGGCGCGGAGCCCCCGCAGCACGTGCCGCTGCACCCGCAGGCCTTCGCCCCCACGCCCGCCGCCGCCGCCGCCCCCGCCCCCGCGCCCGGCTACTACCCCGACCAGCACTATCAGCAGCAGTACGCGCCGCCTGTCTACAATCAGCAGGTAATGTTTTAGAAATAGTTATAAACTACTATCACTCGCAACTATGTCTGCGCAATATTATTCCATAAAAAACAAAAAACCTGATATTTTTCGAGTATGAACTGTATCCTAAGTGTCACTTCAGACTTTCTTATATCTGTACCAAATTTTTATTGGCGTTAGCTAAGGCGTTTTAGAATTATGTGTAAACATGAAAAAACATAACGAACTATATATTTCCGGGATTCAAAGTACCGTATGTATGCTTTCAGACTATTCTTCACATCTATGCCACATTCCAACGAGATCCTTTCTTCAGTTTAGAGCATGAAGTGTAACATGCATTAATTGAACACAGGAGGCGGCGCCCCCGCCCGCCGCGCCGCTGCAGAAGGCGCCGCTGCCGGAGCAGTACGCGGAGCTGCAGGCGGTGTTCGACTCGCTGCGGGCCGACTGCGCGCAGCGAGCACCCAGCACGGTCTCTTTGCTGCCACTACCGCTCCTTCGCTGACCTCTGGACCGCTTGCTCATTCTCCTCTCGTTTCAGCAAATGAAGAGGAAGCTGGACGACGTGCAGCGGAGGCTGGAGACGCTGTACGACCTGCTGCGGGAGTACAGAGTGAGTATACATGAAATTTAGCCCGTTTTAACAGTGTCGTATGAGTGTGCGGATCTTGCTGAGCAATACCACGACCACACAGAAGACAAATGTGAAGTGGCAGCACTTCCACGTATACTCTGACGAGTTTGTGAGTCAGGGATTTTTTTAGTTCTTTTTTCTTTGTTATCCCTAAGCGAGAGGATACAAAGGAATGGGGAAAATAAATTAACGGGGAACGCGTAGATAGGGAAAATTATCACCTTTTATGCGTCCCTTCTGCGGCTAGACTAAAGGTAGACTTCACATCTACAAATCTGCAACATGCCATGTCGAGGCTACTTGCTCGATTGTCAACTTACACTAGAAAGTGGTAGTGTTGCGCAAGATAGGTGAGAGGTAGGGGGGAGGTGGGAGAGAGGTACATTAATGTCCCGTGCGGCAGCTGTCGGAGGGCGCGGTGGGCATGCTGCGGCAGTGCGCGCAGCACGCGCGCGGCGGCGAGTTCCCGCAGGCGCTGCAGTGCGCCACCGCGCTGGCGTCGGGCGCGGACTTCGCCGCCGCCGCCGCCTTCCTGCCCGGCCTCAAGCTGCTGCTGCAGCTCGCGCCGCAGCTGCTGCCCCACCAGCACCAGCAGCTTCAGCAGCGGTAGACTGACAGCGACACCGATATCATTCAGATATGATTCAATCCAATGGGAGTTTCCCGTTGGACCATTGGACTATTGGACCATTTACGAATTGTTCTGATTAATTGTATGAATTCGATCGACTACTTGAGGAAAAACCCATCGCGTCGATCGATCGGTATGTCGAACGGCCCAACGGGAAACATCCAATCTAATCGTTTCATTTCCTAGATAGCATAAATGTATAATAGTTAATGTCTCCTCTATAATTATGTATTAGTTTTAATTTCCTTTTTAACAAATGTTATAATCGTTTTAAAATTTATTTAATGTTACTTATTTTGTGCCAATCTGTATCTGTCTTTGTCTATCTCAAATGATTTATTATTTGCATTCCTTTGACGTAACAAAATTGTAAAACCTCTTCTCACAATAATTTTAATATTTACTTTAAATTATGTTTATACATCAAACGTAACTTTAATTATTGTAAGGCTGTGGAATAATTTTGGATTACAATTGGCAGTTTTTAATTAATTTTGAAACATGATTGATTACTATAAATTAAAAGTGCTCGTAATTTTTTTTTAAAATATACGTTTTGATGATTTTATTAAAATGACTTGTAATGAGATTTATTTGAATTTAAACTCTAGTTCATTATTATGAACTATCAGTTTAAAGTTAACAGAACGACTTGAGATCGCTTAAATATTATTCTGCGTGTAACTGATAAATGTAATTAATATATTAAATGAATATTGTAATTATGTTATTGAAGATATTACTAAATATAGATATATTTTAATGTAATTGTAGTTTCATTTCCTTTACACAATTCTTGACAGAAACTGTCGTTTCGCATAAACATTTAGTATTTCCGAATTGCGCTGAAACTTCGAGTGGAATTATATATAATGCACCTCCATTAAGATAGATAAATTCGTAAAGTGCAAGCTTTCACCTTAAATGCATTTTTGTTTTCTACATTCCATGCAATTTGAAAATATAGCATATAATTGTGATAGCATTTTAACAAAAAGCAACGCTGTTATCTTGCTTTAAATAAAGAATGAAATACTCGAACAAACGAGTTGTTTGACTAATGGCGGAGAGTGGTTTCCACTCTTCATTGTTTTGACTGCGACATAAAATGTTCCATTTATGCAACGTATATGTACAAAAATGCATTAAAACATAAAAATAGTTTTATAGCTTAAATTTTTTAATTTTTTAAAGCATTTATGTGTAATACAAACCCATACCAAAAAGGCGCCCTTTTATGCATCTGTGACGCCCCTTTATATCCGGCGCCCTTGGCGGTCGCCTCACCTCAACCTACTCTTATACCAGCCGTATTTGTCTAAATAATCTATATCTATCTATACTATTATAATAAAGCGTAAACACACACTTCTTGTTGTTACCTAAGTTGTTAGCAATTACAGAATGTTTTTGAATATTTCTTTTTAATAAAACGTCCTACACTTGCGTCACGCTTTAGGCTATATTTTCACGCCATTAAACTTAAACATTTTGAATAAAAACCCTAATGTGGGAAAGAGACCATAAGTTGTTGCCAACATCAAGGAAGCAAGACTGTCAAGGTTTGTCATGTCATGTCATTTTGACATTTGCTATTGATAATTTGACACATGTAAATTATGTAAATTTTCATAATTTTATGCGGATTAAGTGTCGCTGGAACAGCTAGTCTTATACATTTATACTAAGTAGAGTTAGAAATAAAATATTGCTCGGTTTAGTTGCAGTCACTTAATATAGCGGGAGGCTATTATTATTAACATACAAAACTGCGGGTTCTTTTATAACGCTTATATGATTAAAAGCCAACGCATCTCATGTTGATAAGCATAAAAATGTAAATGCTAATAAGCGGAGCCCTCGCGCCGCGTCGGGTGCCGGCAGGAGTGCAGCGAGCGGAGTGTGTAGAGTAACGTCGACCCGTGTCCATTGCGATTTGTCTCACGTCATTGGTCCGAGATTTACAACTAAAAATTATAGACAATAACTAGCTTTCGCCCGCGACTCCGTCCGCGTGGATTAAAAAAAACAAAAGTAAGTAGTCTATGTGTTCTTCCAAACTATCCTCTACATCCATACCAAGTTTCATCGAAATCCATTCATCCGTTTAGGCTACAAACTGTAAAAAACATCCATCCATCCATCCACCTAAACTTTCGCATTTATAATATTAGTATATAATTATTCAGTCCATTGTAGTATTGTATAGCAGAGTCAGAGGCTTTATTTTATTTTATTTTATAGCAGAGGCAGAGGCAGGTTATAGTGTACTAGCTTCAAGATGCATAATAAGGGAGGGATTGCTTAATGTTAAGTGACCAGGGTTTATACAATCAGAAACGTACTTTATCGAAGTAGTCATTGTATAGATTCTAGGGACTACCTTCCCTAGATTGGCGACATTCATGTATAGGTTACATAACTTAATCGTGTGTGTTCTGTGGGAACGCGTCCTGCGTAGGCACTCCAGCCTGCAGATTAGCGGCGTGCAATGAGGTCACGCGGTACAGTGGCCGCCATTAAAAATAATAAACAACCTTGCGACTATTACTACACTATGTGAGTAAGTGTTGCGTAGTTTGATTATCCTACTAGAGTCTAGCTAGTTCTCTTCTCTAGATTTGAGAAGTATTCCCGTATGACGTTTCTGTTTAGGGTTAACTAAAACATCTATGTCTAGGATAGTATGAAAGTTTTCTTGTGTTTTAAAAGTTATAAGCAAAGTCATACGTTCGGCTACCAGTACTTATTCAATGTAGACACCAACAATGACTATCAAATACGATATTGTCAAGCTTGTAATAGTTACCTGTGCTAATTTGATTGGGCGACGTTCCTCGGACCACGAGATAAGATAAAACGTTGTCTGTTACATTATGTTTGTGATACTACAATATACAGGAACTAAAATTTAAAACCCGACCTGACTTTGGTCAGTTATACAATTGGAAAAATAACCTCTGTAATTTCCTTATAGAATTTTATTTGTACGTTAATTTTAAAAAGTGCTGCCTCTATGTTATCACTAGCTCTTGTCCGCGGTTTTAGCGCGTGCAATTAAAGTAAAATTATTCTGTCTCAATTTTGCTGGTCTTCTAATATATCGTAAACAGCCGCAGCAGATGATTTTGTTGGCATAACATTATTCCCTGCCGTTTCATCGGTTTACGAGGCTGTTAAATTCTCCGGTCGCTTTACGACTCGAAATGTTTTTATCTGTATTTAAATAACAGCACAAGCATAATATTCATGGACGGGATGAAAATTTTATATTTCGTTTTTAAAATATTACTTGACTTTTTATGGCTTTAATTAATAAAAAAACGAATAATAGTTCCTAATATTATTTAAAACATTTTAGTTTTAGGTAAATAAATAGTTTTCTGTAGGTAAATATTCGTACAAGTGACGCATGTGCAAAAAATTCACAACATTTTGGCGTAGTGATGATTCAAAATTCAAATGTATTTTAGGGTGAATAATTAGCTGAAACCCTTCACGAAATATAGGATTAAAATGATATCACTCTTTAGAGTGACAAATTATTGATAAATTGCAATGTTTTTGAAGTAGACAATTTTTAAATGTGTAGTTTATGCTTCGCTGCTGCTGTCGCAGAGAATCGCACAGAGTGCAGAAACACCCTTCTAGAGAGTAGTCGCGACCCTCAGGAATGAAACGATCCGGGGAGAGAGAGAGTTTATGCTTCAAGTCAGATTCGCCTCAAGCAAGATGCCGTTTACCAACAAAAAGGTAAACAAAAACAAAATGTTCCGCAATGAATCAGTCGCGTATCTGTGACGCGGAACAAAAAACCATTAAGCGACGCGAATATATTGCAGTTCGCAAATTGCCCGATGTTTAATTGATATTAATGGACTCACGAGCGCTCATCGCTCACACCCGCAGCTCCGACACAATATCTTTATCAAATAAACTGAAACAATCAATTAATTACAATCTACTTATTATCGAGTTAATTACTGTGTAAACAGGAATTATTTCAGCGCTACTAGCGCCCTGGCCGCCCTTTAGAAATGGTGTTTACAAGGCTATGTTAGACGGTGTAATTCGCAGACCTATGGCGTCCTTTTCGGTCCATCGCCCAGTGATCGGTCTAGTCTAGCTTTGTCTTGTTACAGTTTTAATCAGCCTAAGTAGGCAGTAATCAGCAAATAATTAAAAAAATGTTATAAAACTGTAGAGTCAGTTATACCTGCCATAAAATTTCTTCATTTCTATTAAATTTTTCTTTATTCATTTTAAACGTTTTACGAGGCTGTAACATCGCAACAGTTAACTTTACCCTGAATTAGGTCTGTCGCCACTTTATGACGATCTTTCGACGCATTTTTGATACTTACTTTAATGTCGATTTTTTTTTGTTTATGGTTTGCGACTAATGAGTCAGTTACCTTAAGAACCATAAATTAACCGACGTAATACATTATTAGTGTTTTTCGTAGATACATATGTAGGTTGAGATAGAATTTTATTCGTATTCTATCAGCAAATAATTAAAATTAACAACATTGCCCACGGTATCAATGCATAGAATAAAAATATTTTCTGAAACAAAACTAATATTTTATCGCTAGCTTAGTTACAGTTAATTACTACTTTGTTCCTGTGACAATCTTATCTAGATAACATCTTCGTTTACATTTTGATTGTACTTATGTTTTGTGTGTTTGATGTAGACTTTTTGCAATTATTATGACAGTGTTAACCAACTTGCAGCTTGTACATTCACACTTTTACTGTCGCTGGCCGAGTGTATGACTTCACACATATCGTTAAATTTCTTCTTACATTGCAGGTTGCTAAATCCGGTGCGCGCCACCCTACGGGAGTAGGATAAGGCAGGGGAAATGATGATTGTAGGTTAACGACAAACAAAAGTACATATTATGAAATTCGACAATCGAAAAAACTTTTACAGATGTCAGACCATCAACTTCATATTTTACGTCTTTGAAATGAAAAATAATCGCATTAGTAGATTCTGTTCAATGTTCTGTTGTCTTGATTTTAATTCTAAAAAAATCGTAACTTGCCAATCACTTTATCCTATCTTTAGTTAATTAAATTATCAAATATGGCTACACATAAATGCCAAGACTTTTATGGAGATGGACTTGAATCCGTTTTCTCATTAATTTTTTTTTATATTTTCAACATCATCTAACATTCGGTTGCATTCTCAAACAGAACAAAGGCCGCGGAATTAAACCGCGACAAAACACAACGAGTGTGGCAAAGAATATTTTTTCTAGCCCTAGGGAATCTAAACCCGAACACGAGGGTTTTTATAATGCCTTTGTTCTTTGGTTTGTTTGTCCGTTGATGTATTGCTGCGGCGTTGTGCGGGACACCCAGAGCCCTCTTGTGTGTGTGATTTAACCAAAACTACACATATTATGCTGTTAAATATAGCGGATTTGAAGAACTCTCTCTGTCACTTAGAAATTCATAAACTTATAGAAGTCTACCTAATAAGGGCAAATATTGATATTGTTGATGCAATCCTAATTATTATGCAAACAATCCTTTAACTCATTCACTTCCGTATGACGTAAGCCGATTGCAGTTTTTTACAATTGTATTATCACACCCTTGTCGAATGTTCCAGAGAACCAATTGCGTAAAACGATAAAGTTATTAAGTCCGGTATCACAAAACAAACAGCGGGCGGACGGGTAGATAGCTGGCTATCGGCGCGTCGCAAGCCGCAAGTCACAAGCAACGCCGCAAGCCATCTCGCAAGTAATACTGTAAGCCTGGACAATCTCCGGCCAAGTCATAAACACGCATTAGAGCGGTGCATGACTCTGATAGAAAAAAAAATTCTATAATCCCGGACAATTTGGCAAATGAGTACTTAGCTATCCCGACCCCTTCCCCCTCCCCGCGCCGCACCCCTCCAGCATCCCTCTATCGCCATTAGAACTCTCTTTTATCGCATTAGTCTCTTATACAAGAAGTGCGTTTACAAACCAATGGATGCGGCATTAATTTTAGTACAAGACATTGTTTGTCCTGATTTATATGCTCGTCTAATGGGAAATATTGAGATGGCCATAACAGTGGGAAAAAATATAGTTGAATAATTTTGCATTTGCACAACAATTAAGTAAACGTTATCGATTGTAATAAACATAATTGATTAAGGTGATATGATAGTCCGCGGCGCTGGCTGCCTCGTGCGTCATTAACTATCTTTGGGATTTTATCTCTGAACGTGTTTGCGTTAAGTTTACGATTAAAGTTTCATATCTGATATAGTGATTAAAGATGGGTTGTTTTAATATTTGAGTACATTTAATTTCGAATTTGTGAAGTTATTGAGAATCAAATTATTCTATTTATATCCTTGGAAAACATGCGTAGATATGTTTCCCGGTAGCCAATGTTCCCGGTAACATCTTAAATACAGATATTACAAGTTTTGGTTCCTGTTTTATAGTTTTCCAATAACCGTTTGTCCTAAAATATACTAACCGTACTGTGTACTCGTATTTAGCATTGGTTTAGTTTTTAGAATTAGTTATTACAGTGTACATTAACTATCAAACTAAATGTTTACTAAATGAAGTTATAGTTTCTTCTCTTTAAGATCACCCTGACATTTTTGTATTTTATTTCGATATTAAAATTAATTGGATACCGCATCTATGTAATTTAGTGCGTGCGTGTATCTGTGGGCGTGCTGGCGACCGTGACAGATGCGGCGTATCTGTCACGGCGGGCCGAAGACGCTCGCTTACGTATTCTATTATACGGTGGAGTTTTACCGCTCGCACGGTTTACGATAATACACAACATACGACGGGAAACGATGCTGCGTTAATCATACAGATAGTTACCGAGACTGGGGGAGTAAGAGGTGGGGGATGTATTCTTGGATATTTTTACATCACACATTACTTGACCACTATATGTTAGTATCGGATACGTCAATGTAAAATGATAAAGTATGTACCCACCCTAAAATAGGCTCAACCCTAATTTGCAGAATAGAAGTAGGTAATGAAAAATAAGCGCTTCACCTACATAAGATATATACTTACAGATAATTACTCAAAGACGATTATAGAATGATATGAGAATTTTGGCATTAAATTGCAAATTTCTAACAATATTTATTATACGATAGCAATGTAGAAGTAACAGTAACTAATTGAATTTATTGAAAAGTTCTGTTACTAATTGTATTAACGTCAGAGAATTGAGTTAAGTATTTTATTGCTCTTCTTAGCGACCGATGTAAAAGTTGGGACTAATTTGTTCTCGTTAACGATGAGATACTAATTTAGATCAGTTTTTGTTAGGTTAGAGTAATTATAAATGGTAGACAGGGCCGTGAGAGACGTGATCTGTTCTTACTGAAGAATAGCCAAGATCTGATTTTTTGTTTCTTATCTGTTGATACGATATATTATTTTAAACTCGTATTAGAATTAGAAACATTTACTTCAATTTAAATTGTTGCATGTTTATTGAATAGTATGACTGCATTTTATAATGCCATAACACATCTTAATCTCAACGTCTCTCAAACAACGAACTTCCCAGTATGACATAATTCAGAAAACCCACAAAATTAATCCTGACATGTCATCATCGCATCATTACCTAGGTTTAAAAGTTAAAGATAAGAATTTATCTCAACAACTAGACTTAAAATTTGCTATAAAAGATTCCAGCATTGCAAGGAGCACATAGTTAACAAGTGTTCAGTGTAAAGGAACAATGGTTTCAGAATACAGAAAGAAGAAGTATTTAGATATTTTCGGATATTATGATACTGATAACAATGGAAAGATCGAGAAGAAAGATTTTGAGACAACAGCGGCGATGTTAGCTAAGTCGCCGGACGGTAAGATCGATGAAGCGAAGCACAAGGAGTATCTCAACACGCTCCTAGCCATCTGGAGCGGCTTGCAGCAGGCTGACACCAACAAGGATGGACATGTGTCTGCCGAAGAATGGGTAGCTCAATGGGACGCTTACGCCAAAAATCCTGCTTCCCCGTACGAGTGGCAGAAAATCTACTGCAAGTTTTCCTTCGACATCCTCGACGCCGGAAACGATGGTAGCATCGACAGTGATGAGTTCGTAAAGGCGTATGAAGCTTGGGGATTCAAGAAAGAGGACGCTGCCAAGACTTTTGGTAAATTGTCTCAAGGCAAATCATCATTGTCATGGACAGAGTACCAGAAGCTGTGGCAAGAGTACTTCACCACTGAGGATACCAACGCAGTCGGAAACCTGCTGTTTTCATCTCCCTCGCCTTGAATAATCTCAGTTATTTTATGATCTAGACATTGCATTTTTTGCTTGCTTATTACGTGTATTTTTGCGTTGTATTAACTATTTATGTTTATTAAAGAGATATATAAAAATGAGTTTTATCATTTTAATCTGAGCTTCAATCAAAACTATAATTTGATTTGTGATAAGAGTCGACAAGTCATGATTCAGCAATCATGTCAAGTCAGGAGATTTAACAATTATGTAATAAACTTGGAGTCATCGATGTCAGTGAGCAGGAGAATGCTGGATTACTGAATGCAGATCAACTTCTGAAACCGCTGGATTATTTTATATCGATGTCTACTCTTATTACCTTTTAGTGCTATTAGGTTTAAACATTAAAATAGTTATGTGTTTTTCAATCGTTTATCGTAGATTCTTCATTCAATTTATTTTAAAAGACCTGTCTTGCGACGAACTCAGTCCTCCATAGTTCCGGTGGCTCGACGGAAGTGCCGTCTAGCGGCTAATCCTTGCACTAACACGTAGGATCAAGGGTCTATTGATTTTTATTAAAAATACACATCAAAGTTATTATTTTTTATTCTAGCGTATCATGTAACTATTACAAAAAAAACAAATGTTGCATTACGTCTTGTATCCACTTAGGGTCCTGGGTTCTGGAGACCATTGACCATATCCATATTAAAAACACAATAGAAAATTATTAATGAATTGTTACAGATTTTATTGTAGTCATATATCACCTTAGTACGTTAAAACTTATTGATTAACGGCAAGTTTTAACGAAAACTCAACACAAACAAAACAAACAAATGACGCTTTGGGGGATTTGAGCGTCATGTGTTTTAATTCTAATATTTTGCATACATTTATAAAAAGTTAGGTTAGTTTAAAAATAGAAATGCAACGAAGAAATGTTTTCATTGATATTTTTGTATTTTATATTGAGTTTGCAATGTTTGCTTACCTTCGTATTAAATGTTTGTGTTTATTTATTTCTTAATATGTAGTTGTCACTAATTGAAGTGGCAACTCCCAGCAACAAGCATTGTAACTGTAACAAGTGGATGTAAATAACAGATATAATGTAAACTGTGCTTGGACATTTATTTGCGCTTCACGATTTCATAGATTAACAATGCAACAGAGGGAACATATTAAAAAAAACCTTAACTACTAACGCCCTTCTTAAAATATTATATTTAAGGCCTGTCCCACCACTGGCTTATAGAGCCTAAGATAGCTCAAATTGACGTCACTGTCAGATAAGGAAACAAAATCCGATATTTGAATCATATATATTACACGTTCGATTGTTATCAGACAATTTATAATTTGATGGGATAAGCCCTTAAAGTTGTAGTAGAGGACAATTTTAAGAGGTGCTTGGTATGCAAAAGTATTTGAGCTGGGTTCAAGAAATAAAAAGAAACAGAAGAAAGAGAAAAGGAATAATAGAAGTCCTTGCTTTATTAATAAAGAAGGCCCATTTATAATAAAACGTTTTTTGTTTCAATCCAAGTTGTCATCAATGGCTCTTGGCGGTAATTTGTAAGGAGTCAGTTAAAATAAATATTGTAAATGAATAATTAAGTCTGCTGGTTAACTACTCTATACCAACATAAGTTTCGCTGCAATGCAGATGGATAGCGAAACGATAACCAACAGACGTCATCTCTGTCTGTCGGCACAGATTTACAAAAGATAAATTGATCGTTATCTACATGAGAAACTAATGAACTCTCTATATAAGCGCCGGCGTCTGCGCACGGCAACAAGTAGACAACAGCCAGCAGTTACAATGGTCTCCGACTTCAGAAAGAAGAAGCTGTTGCATTTGTTCAACAAGTTCTTCGACAGAGATGGCAGCGGCTCTGTAGATAAGAAGGACTTCGAGCAGGCGGCGGAGAACATCTCCAAGCTTAGAGGATGGAAACAAGGTGATGCCAAATACAAGGAGACCCTAGACGCCTTGCTGAAGGTGTGGGATGGATTACAAAATGTAGCGGATGCTAACAAGGACGGCGAGGTGACTGCAGACGAGTGGGTCACAATGTGGGAAGCGTACGCCAAGAATCCATCATCAGCGTACGACTGGCAGAACCAGTACTGCAAGTTCATATTCCAATTGGAGGACGCCAGTAACGATGGGGCCATCGACAGCGAGGAGTTCTCTACAGTCTACGCTTCCTTTGGCTTGAACAAGGAGGAAGCGGTGACAGCTTTCCAAAAGATGGCCAAAGGCAAAGCCAACGTCTCCTGGCCCGAGTTCCAGGAGTTATGGAAAGAGTATTTCGTCACCGAAGATCCGAATGCTCCGGGAAATTTCATCTTCGGAAGGTCTAGTTTCTAATTTTTCAGTTTAAACCTAAAGACGTTTAGTTAGATAATTTTTTTATTTAAATTTTAATTGTAGTGAAATTTAAGAATCTTAACTGTTCTCATTATTTTTTTATTGTAAACGGAGTTTCAATTTTTATTGATTTGTTAAATAAATGTGTGCTTTTAAATAATATTGGTTATTTTTTATTTAACTACTTGATGGATTTTATTGAGTGAGGTGATATCTGAATCGATGTTTACTTGAGGGCTGTTAGATTTAAATAGTTCAGATTAATTTCTTACAATATCAAATGATACTTCGAACGACGTACTCGGATAACGATGATGTAAAAAGGACAAAGTGTGTATAAGTAAAATTTGATCATCATTATTTATAAAACATTCTTATCGACACAGATTAGTTACAGACTAGTTACCCAACAGAGCAGATAGTCATATATGTGGTATTACTATTAAGTAATAAAAGAGGTTTTAGCTTACATATAAGGTTGTTTGCATTGATTGTAGAAACATGAATTTTAAAGTTGGTAATATCACCTTGTTAACTAATAATCAGTTTTATTTATATCAAGACAAAAACATCATTTAAAATTACTAAAACGATTGATCTGTTTGTACGTTATTCTATGTTAATAAAATTTTTTTCGCAGTGCAGATAGATTGCAGATTTCTTTAAAAAGATAAATTGATAAAGTTTATCAATAATAGCGTTTTTAATTATGAGAGCAGTATATAAGAAGAGCAATGTCTAAAGTGAACGTAAAAAAGATCGCCAACGAACACAATCAAAATGTTGTCCGACTTTAGGAAAAAGAAGCTGTCGTTTCTGTATAGATTCTTTGACAAGGATTCCAGCGGGACTGTGGAAAAGAAGGACTTTGAG